ACATGATTTGTAGCATGGCCTATTTTACAATACCTTCTATGAATAAAATAAATTCACTTTTTATAACAGGTAGAAAAAAGACCTTACACTAACTGTAGCTAAAGCCGGCCCAAAAGAATGCAGCCCAGTCCAAAGTACATGCTGGGCTCTCAGGAATGTGGCCCAGCCCAAACTCTGTGCTGGGCCACTCTCGAAAATCATCTTCACCATTGAAAAGTCGCAAACAGCTCTCCCTAAGTATATACTAATTCTATAAATATTCTTTTAAATCTTATAAAGAAGCTTGTACCGTATAAAAGGCTCCCAAATGTGACCTGAGTTTGAATTATATCTAATACCTAGGCCGAAACCGCAGTTTATGGGAAACAGGAACAATGGGTTTCTAGAGTCAGCTATGCCTGTTACAGTCACAGAGTCTTCAGTTTAGGCCAGCAGAGTTCCTTTAGGTTGTTCTTGTGCTGCATGGCAAAAGGGGGAGGAAAATGGGGTCTACGGCTCCCGAACACGTCCTAGCGGTCTCGAGGTCCACGGCCCTCCCTGATCCCTAACGCTCAGTGGGCCTCCGTGGCCGGCTCCCAATAGGTTGTGGCCTGCACCCTCACAACTCCCAGGGTGGCTCCCAGACCAGTGTCGTCTGGGGGCTGCTGAGAAGAGCGGCTCCCACCCCAGACCTGCTGAACAGAATCTGCATCGCCACAAGAGCCCCAGGGGTTTCTGTGCACATCCAAGTTTAAGGAAGAGTGACCCAAGGGACCCCAAAGGTCACAGCTCACATTGGGACCTCTAGGGCTTTATTACTTGAAGATGTGGAAGAGGAAGGAGAGGAACAAAAAGGAAGTAAAATAGAACAAGAGGGTGTGGTCAACACAACCGAAAAGAGGGCGCTCGACCAGTTTCCCAACTCTGCTGCTCACGGACATAGAGGTTGGTGGGAACCCCAGTCCTCCGACCAGGGGGCCTATCATCCTGCAAAGGACAAAGGGCAAGGTGCAGGGAGGCACCCGGGTCTACAGATACCAGGACCATCTTCCCGGACCACGCCAGTACGTGCACACATGGCAGCCTGAGAGCTTAGGAATAAAGCCGTCCTTCCTCAGGATGATCAAGTACGTTGCAGGCCAAATGAATGTAGCTCCCTGTGGAAGCCCCCAGTGACTGAGATGGATGGTACCCCAAAAAGGGGCCTTCACCTGGAAAGGCCACCTTGCTCACAGTCACTCAGCTCTAGGACGCTTTGTATTCAAGCAAACCCGACTGTAGCAAGCTGCCTCCCCAGGAAAATGCAGCAAACAGGGAGGTCCTGCTTCCAAAAGGGAGGACCCCTGCACCCTGCCTCAGCAGAGTGAGGAGACACTTCTGTGATACTGTGTGAGGCATCACTGGAGAGGAAAGTGCCAGGTCCTACCAGGTTCAAGCCCTGGCTTGGCCACCTACCGGGTGCAAGACCGCTGAAGCCCAACCTCTCGGATGAACCTCAAGTACTCCTGCCATAAAGCTGCAAAGCTGTTCTGAGGTTGTGCAGTCCTTGTGCTGGTGACCAATGGCAGCTGCTATTCCTGTCACCTGTGCCCGCCTGAGAGGCAGCAGGCATGGCCTGAAAAAGGGGGAGGCTCTCCAGCCCAGGGCGATGCTGACTTCCTCTGAGGTGGTCCTGAGTCACTGCAGCTGCAGAAGCAGCGTCTGGGACCACTACTCTATAGCCACATCCCAACTGGACAAAACTGAGGAGCAAGGCTTCACTCAACCACAAGGAGAGCAGGTCTGCTGAACACCATCTGTGTATATACCTGTGACTATCTTGTAGCCCAGCTCCGTCAGGGCCTCGGACAGAGCCCTGCAGTTGGCCACCACCTGCTGCTGATACACTTTAAATTCTGGAGTCATGGCTTGCTTCAGGGCCACAGCAACCCCTGTACAGGGAGAGAGACCGCAAGACAGAATCAGAGACAGAAAATGAGTCAAAAAGCATCCCTTGTTTCTACTCACGCTTCCTTGCTTTTCAGTTACTGAAGTGGAGTGGAGGAGTGGATTACATCTTTCCCCAAAATAATGTAATTTCAACCCTACGATTTCTTGGCTAACCTTCCAGACCCTTGTTGAAGAAGTTTTTCTCTGAGGAATGCTGAGGTAAGCTTTCTCTAGGCATAGAAGCTTGGTGCTAGTATTACCACAGCAAAGCCATTCTTAAGCAAAATGGGTTTTACAGTCCTTTTTAATCTTGATATATGAAAATGATTACTCAGCTGCCCTAAAAACTGATGCTCTGATGCCAAATTATGCAGATAGATCAGAGTCCAGATGGAAGGTGCAGTCTTGTCTCACATTGCACCATTCAGACTCATCTGGAACATCAGTCTTGAGGGAGGCTTAAGGGACACAACATGGAAGAGAATGCAAAATCCATGCATCTAAGTCCCAGCATAGAACCTCCATTCAATGCTTCTAGAAACAACTTGAAAGGGCCCAGAATGGCCGGGACCAGATGATCCCAGCATCCCAGAGTTGAAGAAACCATGGTGCTGAGAAGGTAAGTATAAGGGGAGAACATAAGAATCACCCCCTAGGACCCCAATATCTCCCACTCCCTTATGACTTCATCGTATGCTGCTGTCTCCAGTTCCCTCTTTGGAAATGCTAGTGCTTCACCTGACCAAGAAGTTATAGTTTTGTCCTGAATTCCTCAACACGAATGCATTCTACCAATTGTCTTGTTCCAAGACAGGGAGATAACTCTGAGGTCATACAAATAGAGAAGGAACAAGTCAGTGGAAGTCTGCTGGGCAGTCATGTACTCTGACTTGAGTCGCCAATGTAGCGCCAGGTGCAGGGTGTGGGGGTCAGACACAGGGCCTTCATTGCCACAGGCCAGGAAGGAAGAAGAGGGCTCATTCTGTGGGGTCTGGACCCTAATCCCCCGGCCTTTGCTGTGTCCTCTCCTGTCAGATTCCTTCCCTGTTGCTTCTCTAAGAGGGCTCCACATACTTTACACACCTGGCCTGACCCACAGTAGTGCCTCTGGGCAGCCGTATGTGTGGAGTCCTGTCCCCTCCTTCCACCACTCTCAACCATTTCCCTTTTCTCCTGTGTTAGCAACTCCTGGACAGAGAGAGTCCTCTAGTTACTTCCCTGGCATGGAGGTCCTGCCACACACTTATGGAGGACACGTGAGATGGGAATTAGGAGACTTGAGATGAGCAAAAGTGGGAGATGATGTTGTACCAGCAATGGCGTGGTTGTGGGGCCCTCCCTGCAGGCCGGGGAACACAGCAGAGTTGATGAGCGACTCCAGGTTGTAGAGAATTTCTTTGCCAGTCTTGGGATCCACACTTTGCACTCCTGGATGAAGAAAAACATCAAAATGGGATCCTCCAGGGTGTCCCCTCTGTTTTCTCTCTTTTTAGACTTAAACTCAGATTGGCTATGGGAGCATCAAGTACAAGCCTGGCCTTCACTCCTAGTGATGAGGAGAACTGGCTTGTAATGCAACAGAGAGAGAGGGCCTTGACTTCCTAGGGGGAGACCAGTGCCATTCTTTGGGAACATCATGGGTAAATAGCTGGAATGTTGGTTTCAGTGGCTCAATTGTACACCTGCCTCCTCTGATGGCATCTCTTCTTAACAACAAGACTGTAGCAAGGCCTTAAAAATGAAACAACAGGCTGGGTGTGGTGGCTCACACCTGTAATCCCAACATTTTGGGAGGCAGAGGCAAAAGGATTGCCTGAGTCCAGGGGTTTGAAACCAGCCTGAGCAACTTGGTGAAAGCTTGTCTCTATAATAAATCAAAATATTAGGCAGGTGTGGTGGCATGCACCAGTAGTCCCAGCTACCTGGAAGGCTGAGACAGAAGGACCATCTGAGCCCAGCAGACTGAGGCTGCAGTAGCTGTGAGCAGGCCATTGCACTCTAGCCTAGGCAACAGAGATTCCGACTCAAAAAATAAAAGGGACAGAAATTTCGCTCCTCTGAAATTGTAAGAAATATAGTAACTTGGGCATATTTCCTTAAAGAAGTGTCCAAGATAATTGCTTTGAAGGAGATAATGCTCATTTGGATACATATGAAGAATAAAGTTTCTTTCTAAAAATAAGTTAATAAGCAGTAATAATTACTATTAAATAATCGATAACAACTAATATCTGTATCGACCTTCTGATGTGCCAAGAACTACTCTAAGTTCTTATGCAAATTAATCATTTAATCCCCAAAACAGCAGGTCCAAAGGACAGGTACTATTATTATAGTCTCAACTCTGGAGGTTAGGAAATGAGGGGCAGAGAGGTTGTACAACTAGCCCAAGACCACACAGTGGGTGTGCGACAGAGTCCATTAACACTGGGTCTCACGAATCACACCAACGTGCAACGGGGAAAAACCAGTGTCTCCTAGGCAGGTGGGAATGGCTACCTGCCACAGAGATGTCAGCACAGTTCAAAAAGGTCCTCAGAGCACTGAGAAGCTGAGTGGGCACATGGTTATGGGTAGCCCTGACCAGGAAATGGACAAGACCTTGCATCGGGGTCACCAGATGGCTGGTTTCTCTGCTAATCAAGTTAGCACATCAGGTCTTACTATGGGCTTTCCCGGTATAGGAATCCCAAAAGAAGCAGAGGCCTAGAAGTGGGTTATAAGGTCCTGGAAAGAGAAATTCCTCGCAATAATGACCAAACTCATATTAAGGCTTACACATTAGTGTCTTATAGTTTGAATACTGTGAGGCATTCTCTTTGAGAAACAAGCTAGACTGCAGTAACACCAGAATAATGCTGCATCGTGAGGCCTCTTGGTAACTCTGGCCAGTCATGCATACTTTCCTTTCAAACACCTGCTTGAGTGGAGGATTAGTTGAGCAAAGAGATGCTGGCAACCAGCACCATTCCAACACACAGTGGGTGCTAATCCCTCTTGCTTTCCTAGGACCTGGATGTACAGGAATGAGGTAAGAGCCGGGCTCAGGACTTCCTTCTAGATCCTTTCTGTGAAGCCTGTCATTCCTCCTTCCTAAGTAGCTCTTTAAGGGACTAATATTTTCTTTTTTTTTTTTTGAGTTGGAGTCTCACTCTGTCGCCCAGACTGGAGTGAAGTGGCCGCTCCTGGCCACCGCAGCCTCGACCTGCTGGGCTCCGGCGATCCTTCCG